TGGTCCCTAGACTAAATCTTGTGATATTCATTTAGGTTATATGTTCTGTTTCTATTCTTTTAGAGAGTATGCAAGAAATTGCTTCATGCATACATAACTTAAAAAAGTTTCAAGTTACATATACCTTTACTATCCTCTTTGACAATATGTTCTTGATTGACAATTCCTTTCAATACATAGAAAATACATCTCTTTCTGCTGCATTATGACTTTTATTGTGGTTTAGACATCATGTGTCAGTATTATGGCTTATTCTTTAGCAGTAATTAGACTCTTTTTTGTGACTGGTTTTAGAATTTTTACCAAGAAATGTCTAGGTATGCACATTATTAATATAAAAAAACTGCAGTGATTTGTTGGTATTCTTGAATCTGTGGTTTGAGACTACATTCTGAATGATTTATGTAACCTCTCTTCCAGTTTGTCAGTTCTCTCTTTAGCTCTGTCTAATATGCTATGAAACCTATTTGAGTTTTTAAAATCTCATTTAGTGTGTTGCTTGCCAGTTCTAATTGGTTCTTTTAAAAATTAGTTGACTTTTAAAATTTTTTTCCTATGCGCTGCACCTATTATTAAAAGTTTGTCTCTTATTTCTTTGAAATTATTATTTTTTCTTTCTTCTTTTTTTTTTTTAGAGGTTTTTGCTATAGGGCACATGCGCTTGCCAGATAGAGAGAGACAGAGAGACAGAAAGTGAGAAATCACCCCCAGAGAGGATAGCCACGTCACAATCCCGTCTCCTCCATTCTCCCCTTGGGATGGGCACGAACGCACACGCACCCAGCATGAGTTTTAAGCCACCAGTTCCGGGATGCAAACCGCGGTCGACTACATGGGAGTCCAGCGACATAGCCATTACGCTAACTGCTGGTCCCTGAAATTTTTTTTTGAACTTATTTCTTTGATTTATTTTCAGGATGTGATAACTCAAATATATAAATTGTTAGTTATTTCATTTCTATTATCTTTTGTTTCTGTTGTTACCTTGTTTCCTTGTGTATCTCATCGTATTTAAGTATTATGTGTAGGAATAATTTGAAGCCCAGAATGTGAATTTTCTTTTCCTGGAGTAGTTTGCATTTTTACTTTCAAAGTCTAGGAGTAATAATAGTACAAGATCACCTTAAACAACATTCAAGTACTGAGATTTTTTGGATGATTGAATTTATCTGAAGATGGGCTATACTTTGGCTGAGGGCTGATTTACCTGTATTTCAGGCCAGCTGGTGGTGCAGCAGTTAAGGCAACTCGATTCCACATGGTCCACTGCAAGGTTCAAGTTCTAGGTCAAGAGGCTTGAAAATTACTCTTCGGTACATGTGCATGCAAGGCTCAAATCCTGAGAGGGCAATGGAAGAGAAGGGATTGTGTGATGGCCATCCCCCTGGGGTGGGGGGTGATTTCTTACTTTCTCTCTCTCTCTCTGATTCTCTCTGGAAAGTGCACATGCCCTATAGCTAACAAACCAACCAACCAAACAACAACTTTCACTTCCCAAATCAACTACCTGCACTGTAAGGATATAATGCTTTGGGATCCTAGATTATTGGGAAGAGGGTCTTTTACTAGATTCTTTATTTTGCAGAATCTGGGAGTTAAAATGTGAAAACAAAATGTCGAATTGGGGAGAAGGATAAATGCTCTTCAGAATAGGCAGCTTCCAAGTTCTCCTCATCTCTCGAGGTTCTGGTTCTCTCTTCATCTGCCGGGGTCCAGCCTCGGCGTGGGTGGGTTATCTCGATGAAGGCAGAGAAGGTGAACAGAAGACAGAGGCCTCGATGCCTTTTCATGCACGTCCTATGCAGGACACCCCTCAAAGATCGCTCTCTGAGGAGTGACAACTGCTAGGAATCATCGTGCGTTTTTATTGAAAACGTGTTACATGCAAGTAAATGGAGAGGGGCTAGTGTTTCAATTAACAGCTCATAAAGTTTTTTACAATAGAGAACATAGATTCTATTCAGGGTTGGATTAAGGGTGGGTCTAGTGCAATTCAGGGTTTGATTAAGGGCAGGTCTAGTGCAGTTCCGCAATTGTAGGTGGGTCTCCTTGGAATGCAGTTTTGGGAAAGCGGTTCCAGCAAGCAGAGATGATTATCAGCTGATGTGGCGCAGCAGTCATCTTGTGATTACTGGGAATGGTGCTGAGAAAAGAAAATCTCAAGAATAGATATTAGTTCTTATGGATCTTAATAAAGAATGATACTTATACAGTTTTGTAGGGATCTAAAACTTAATTTGAGGAATCCTAATATATTTATCTATTTCACTTGGAGAGGACGGAGGTGTCCTGAGCCAGTTTTGGCCTAATCAAATTTTACATAAAGAAAGGATTAAGTTTACCTTAAATGTATTTTGAAGGGCCTTCCAAAGGTCAAGATTACTTCTGCCTAGAAAGAACTTCAGCCCACCCTCTATTGTTACCATGGAGATAAAGCATTGTAATTAATAGTAAGTGATCAGAGCAAAGGGGAGCGGTCAGGGGACTTCCTGGAAGATTTTATTGTACACTCAGGATGTATAGGAGAGCTATGCAATTCTTTTATAGTAGTATATTGGGGAGTCAGAGGGGGGTCGCTTTCCAGTAAGGCTGCCACAGTTTCTGGAGCAAATAGCAAACAGCCTTTCTGACATGCTAATTGACCCAAGCTTTGTTCCAAGGTGTGGGGGGGCACACAACAGTGGTCTTGCCCAGGTGTTGATCTGGACCGGAAGCAGAGCTCAAAGGTCAGGTGGGCTCAGACAGATCCTGGGGCCTCGCTGGGTCGGACTCCTCCACTTCAAAATTAACCTGGCAATATGTTCTCTTTTGCAATGGTTCTTCTTATAATTTTAAGAATATTTTTAGACACTTTATTCAGTAATTTTGGTTGTTTTGTTGTGGGAATTAGTTTGAAGAATCCGGCTTGCCTTAACTGGAAACTGAAGCAGTTGTGCTTATTTTTACATTCAAATACTCAAGCTGAAAATCAATGACCTGGTATTATGAGAAGTATAAAAGAAACCATAGAGATATCAAAAAATAATTATGGTGAATCTTAAATAAAATCAAGGCAACTAGTGCAAGTACAGGCATGGCCAGGGGATCCTCTCATATAATGCTAGTCCCAATATAACCTGCAGCAGTTGTTTAAGAAAGCGATATGGCAATATATAGTCTTGTAATAATATTTAAATATTTTGATCAATATGTTTATGCAATAGCAGAATGCATAAAATAATCATAATATCCAACATTAGTATATTTGTTTTGATAAACGATGATAGATTAATATTATGGCATATTGCATAGTCATTAAAAAGGATGACTGTGTAAAAATGGAAGGTTTAGGGTATGCCATTAAATGACAATAGCAAAGCTTAAAATAATATGCTTCCTATATAAAATAAATACCTAGAAGATAAAGAGCAAAAATATACAAGTACTATTTCTGTTTCACTGGAAGACTGAGTATTTTTTTTCCTTAAAAATTCTTTATACTTGGGTCAGAGGAGATGTGGAGGTTAGGGTGGCTAGATCCCACATGCCAACTGCACTGTTCGAGTCCCAGCTGCTTATATGTTATGCTGGATGTGTGTATGTGTTCATGTTCAAAATCCTTAAAAGAGGAGTTGGGGCATGGCCTTCCCCTATGGGAGGTGATTTCTCACTTTCCCTCTCTCTCTCTCTCTCTCTGTCTCTCTCCAGCAAGTGCACATATGCCCTATAGGAAACAAACTATTTTTTATATTCATTTTATTTTAACATTAGGTAAAACTAAAGCAAAACATTTTGCTGATATTTTAAAAATATTTTGGAAAGAAACTTTGTCATATTAAAAAAAAGAAAGCAAGAAAAACAAAAAAAAATAAGAAGGAAAGCAAAGAATAATTTGATTTATAATCTAGACTCAGAATCTGCAAGCAGGCCAAAGCCATTTCAATTTCTTCCTTCTGTGATCACAGTGTAGCTCATAAAAACAACCTTGGCTTCCTATAAGTTTAAAATTGGTTTAAAAATATAGAAAAGCAAATGATAAAAACTTGGGTCTTAACCTTTATCATCAGGCCTTGAATCATGCATGGGTAAGGTTCAGAGAAGATACAATTTTATTCTGTTGTTCGAAAATGAACCATCTGTTCTTTTACTCTTCAGTGGGAGGGCATTATACAAATCTACATAGGTAAGCGTTCATTTTTGCTTAAGCTGTTTCATACTTTTAAAAGTTTGTTTTTCTCCCTAAACTACATGTTTTGCCAAATCTTTTCATAGCTGGCTAAGTACTACTCACTTTTCAATCTGAATTTTAACATTGACTTCTTAAGAGTGAAGTTTTCTGATCCTCCAGTCACAATTATAACCCACCTCGATACTGCCACTTTTATTCAAATAGTACTCCATTCTTACTTTTTTTTTGGAGAGGTTTTTGCTATGGGGTGCATGTGATCACCAGAAAGACAGAGAGAGACAGAGAGACAGAGAGACAGAAAGTGAGAAATCACTCCCCAGAGGGGATGGCCACGCTACAATCCTTTCTCCATTCTCCTCTCGGGATCTTAGGCATGCACACACACACGTGCCCAGTGTAAATTTTAAGCCACCGGGTCCGGGACAAGAACTGAGGTCTACTACATGGGAGTCCAGCGACATAGCCGTTATGCTAACTGCTGGTCCCAATATTCCATTTTTAACACAAGTTATGGTGAATTACTACACTTGTTTTGTTTTCTGTTTCCAAAGTGAAAGCTGAGAAAGGTAGGGATCATGCCTTCTTGATTTGGACTATGTAAATGTATTATTTAATACTTAATATACCATACTACATTTTGTATAAGACAAGCACATTTCTAGGGCACAGTTTTACCTTTTCTCATGTTCTTTCTTTTTTTTTTTTGGCTATGAAGTTTTTTTCATTTTGGTATAATAGAGGGGACTTTATGAAGAGAAGAGATTACTTTTATGTTTAAGTATATTAGGGTGAAATATTTATAAAATGTCCTTTTTTTTTTCTTTTTATCCAGGAGAAATCAATGAATCTACCCAGTATGAGATGTTTACATTCCACAATGGAGGTGTACAAATTTCGTGCAAATACCCTAAGTTTGTTCAGCGATTTAAAATGCAGTTGCTGAAAGGGAGAGAAATACTCTGTGATCTCAATAAGACAAAAGGAAGTGGAAACACATCATCCATTAAGAATCTGAAATTCTGTCAATATCAGTTATTTAACAACACTGTCTCTTTTTTCCTATATAAACTGAACCCTTCTTATTCCAGTTATTACTCCTGCAAACTATCAATTTTTGATCCTCCTCCTTTTCGAGTAGAGACTCATAGAGGAGAGTATTTGCATATTTATGGTAAGACATTGCTTTCATCTTCTGGGCTTAAGAGTGCATGCAAGTTTGACAACTTTTCTCACTGATGAAACCAGTTAAATAACTAAGTGTCTTTTGTGTGGGAGTTCATTTAGGTACAGTTAATGGCAATCTCTTTTGGTGAACATATACAAAGGATGACTTATTAATTATAATAATTAATATTAATAAGTAATAGAGTTTAATCTCAAAAACTGCTGAGTTAGATATAGGTCATATCTTTAAAATACAAATGACATTAAAAATCAGGAAAAATAGACAAATACTCATGGCTTAATGAGTTTTACCTCCATTCTCCTAAGGTTTAAGGTTTGGTTTTATGCTAGATTTGAGAAAGAACATGATATAAATGAAAATCATAGTTTTATAACATTATTTTTCCTATTTGCACTTTTGCAAAAATAAAAACAGAAAGCCCTCTCTGGTAATCATATTTAAAAGCAAGTGTATGTATAGTCTTTTAGGTTTTAGGTTCTGGATCTTTGTTATAATACTTAGATGATGTTAATGACCATTTACTGGGTTTCATGATTATAATAAATAAAACTTCATTTGATTAAACAGCTCATTTAAATTTGGTAAAACAACTTGTGATTCAACACTGTGAGAGAGTGACTCTCAGAGTTTTCCATTAACAAACCTTTTCTTCTAACCCAGAATCACAGCTTTGTTGCCAGTTGAAGTTCTGGATACCCATAGGATGTGCAGCTTTTGTCATAGTCTACATTCTGGGATGCATATTCATGTTTTGGCTCACAAAAAAGGTGAGCAATTTCTATCTTTTCTTGTATTTGTTTTATTAAAAAATATCAGTGGTTACTATTCATCAAAAACACACATTGCTCTAGCCAGAGTAATTTGCTCAATAGGTGGACAATTCTTTTTCTCCAAGATACACCTTCTAATCAAGCTAATAATGTCAAATGGAAGCTTATTAATTTATCTTACAGTCCACTTCATTCCAAAAAGAAATCAAGGGCTTACAGAGAACTTTATTAATATTATTCAAAAAAAGATCAAGAAATTATGGCCAAGGGAAGACAAAAGATCAGAAAAAAGGTTTAAAGATAAAAATAGATACCTTTAATTTTCAAAAAGTATTAAATATGGACTATGAATTTGACTCTAAACTTCCTAATTGTCAGTGCAAAGATGAAGCAATGAGTCATAACTTACACTCAACCATTAAGTTAAAAACCATTAGTAGAAGGTTTTTCAGGATGAGAAGGAAATTGTGAGCTTTTTTACATAGTAAGTATTAGACTCCTAGCTGTTAAAGAAAAAGGCTGAAGAGCTATTCAGAAAAATAAAACAATAACAATGAAGCAACGATAGTTTTTTTTCTGTACTGTGGGATATTCCTTTTAGTCTTTCACATTACAGATTCTCAATCGAAGAATTTACATCACTCCACATATTATGTGAATAAGCTACTATTCAAGTATATCCATGGTGTGATCATTGACCAGGCAGTGGCTATATTTGTGCAAGACTGAAAATTGAAGAGAGATTAAGAAAGAAGAGAATAAGATAGGAACCATAATCTAAGTCTACTGGAGAAGGAACAATAAAGGCAAAAATGAGGAACTTCAGCAGAAATCTCTTTTTGTTCAAAGCCCTTTTCCAATTTAGCCTAAGTCACAAAATTAAACACTTTTGTCAAATACTGCTTTAACAAAAAATAGAAGAGTCAAAAAAACAGGCATGGGAATAGGGAGGAGCAGATGACAAATCATGTTTCCAACTTTTTCTTTCAGAAGTATCGACCCAGTGTGCATGACCCTAATAGTGAATACATGTTCATGGCTGCAGTGAACACTGCTAAAAAAACAAGACTTGCAGGTACAGCTTTGCTTGGGAGTCTGGGTAGGGGAAAATATTTTTCATGTTAAGCCTGGAACTTTAATATTTTTCTTTTCAAGGAAAGGAAAATATCTCTAAGGCAAAATTTCAATATTTTCCATAAAAATGTGGATTATCACATTAATTGAATGTATACTTTCTACAATAAATGGAAAATAAATAAATGATACGTTTGTCAATTACTATTGAAAGTCAATAAACAAACAAAAAGTTCATAGGCCACAATTGTATGAAGGCCATTATTCAGTTTTTATTGGGTCATCAGAAAAGTCATGATGCATTTTTGCATTAAAAAAACCATCAGAACTTTTCCAACAACCCACTATTTCAATAATTGGGGTGATTATGAGTCTTCCTTATAGAAAAGTTTATTCCATCATATGAAGAACATTTATAGAATATCAGTTAAGTGCAAATTACTAAGCAAGGCATTGTGGGGGCCACACAGATATATGGGAATATTAGGCTGAGATTAGAAAGAGAGATCTGGGATGGTGCTAAGAAGGGGAAAAAGGAAGAAACTGGTGAATATATCCAGTTATTTTGACTGAAAAATTGTGCAAGTTTAGAGAACTTGGACCACTTTAGAAGCCTCAGTTAGGTGGGATGTTGACCTTTCCTGTTGAGAGTGAGGACTGATTGTTGTTAGTTTGAGGAACACCCAAAAGTTTGAAGAAGATGTTGAAAATTTGCAAGTCATATGCCATTGATGCTAGAATACTGTGCGGTATATAATGAGACAGAGTAACTACATTTTTTTTTTTTGAGAGGTTTTCGCTATAGGGTGCATGTGCTCCCCAGACAGAGAGAGACATAGAGACAGAAAGCGAGAAATCACCCCCCAGAGGGGATGGTCACGCCACAATCCCTTCTCCTCCATTCTCTTCTCGGGATCTTGGGCATGCACGCACACGCGCCCGGTGTGAGTTTTAAGACACTGGGTCTGGGACGCAAACCGCTGTCGACTACATGGGAGTCCAGCGACATAGCCATTATGCTAACTGCTGGTTCCCAGAGTAACTACCTTTTTACCATCATTGTGTGGTACTGGATTGTATAAAAGGACATACATAGTTTGCGTTGCCATGGAATTATAGCATGGGAAGGGAACTAAAAACGCATATTTAGTCTATCTCCTCATTTTTTTTACAATAAGTATTTTATTTGACTTTTATTTGTTTTTTTTTTTTTTTTTTATTTGACCAAAGAGAGACCGAATGAGAGAGAAAGACTGAGAAAACAAGCCATCATGTCTAGGACTTGGACCACAGTTGGCCATGTGGGAGTCCAGCACCCTTAAGCACCATGCCACCTGCTGGCCCCCTATCTCCTCAGTTTTTAAATGACAAAAATTGATGTCCAGAGTGTTCAGTGACTCTTGGCTCCCAGAGTTAATAGCATAGATTTCACACTTGCAAACAGCTTTTGTTTTATACCTTTTCTATTGAAAATATTTATTTTCTCAGCCTTGTGCTCATAATTATATGTTGTATTAGTTTGTACCCCTGAAAATAGAACCTAAGACAGGGATTTTGGTGTAAGTAGTTTAGTTGGGAGGTGAGCACTTGTAGGATGCATGAGGGGGTAGGAAGAATGAAATAGACCAGGAAGAAAACAAACAAAGTGTATGTACCTACCATGGTCTCAGCTATCGGCCTCCAGAACTGGCTTCATGAGACCTCTGTGAAGTGAACTGATACCTCTGGAATTGTTCTCTTGAGGAATGGACAATAGAGCATTTAACCACTGGCTCCATCCCTGCTGGTTTGGAGTTGCCTGCTGAGAGCATTAATCTTCCCTCATCTGACTATGCCTTGTGCTTGGGATAGCCGGCTCTCAAGTCTTCAAAAAAATCTGGAGGCAGAAAAGCAGAGAGAAGTAGGGTGGGGCTGCTGTGCTGGGGCAGTAAGCGTGAGCAGAACTGTCCACACTATCTACCCCAGAGGCAGCTGGAATTAGAGACCAGGAGTTCCATACCCCACCTATTGAAGCTTGCACATTCATCTTGCAATTAATTTAAACAAACAATGACTGTGAAAATGGTCAGAACGTATTCTTCCCAAAGGCAGGTAGGATCTCTTCTTTCAAAGGATTAAATACACACAATTTCAAACAGCACAACACAGCACCTCTGTAAAATAGAGTTCATAAAAATTTTACAGTTGAGGTCTCCAGACAGATGACTACAGCAGGTGCTCAACAAATGATTATTAAGTTAATAAATAAATATTCCATGCAAGCCAAGTATTTATTGTATGATTTTGTGACTGGCACTGTACTAAAGTAATGTTTATTGGGTAGAGGGAGTGGAGACCCAAGATCATCCTTGTCTTCCAGCAGTTTAAAATGTCATCGAGAGTGCTGGTGTGTTTACATGGAAGCTGACGTCACCTGGTAGGGTCTAAAGTATTCAATTAATGGCAAAGCGGAGAGTTCAGATAATGTCTGTTACAAGAGTTGAGAGTAGACTGGATAATTCATGGAAAATGGAAAATGCAGAACTAGCGATGGGTCTGAAAGCACAAGGGCAAGTTTGGATGGTGTGTGTGCACAGGAGTCTGAGGAAAGAGGAAAACTTATTGAAGGCGATCGACAGAGAGAGAGATTTTAAAGGACTAATGTTTAATTTTTGTTACAGATGTGACCTCGTAATCTGGAACTCTTTGGCACCCAGATATGAACCACGTTGTTCCTTTCTACTTGAAGTGTGAAATTCCACATTTCTTGGACCACAGAGAGTCTGACTTGATTTGACTACATCCATCTCCTGCTGGTGTTTTATTCAATCTGGACCAGTAACTGTATCAGTCAACAGAGAGCTTAACAGACTGCTTCCATACTGCTGAGTTTTCTCAAAACAAACGTTCTCTTGCTACTAGCCTTTTAAAAAGCCCGGTTCCTGTGTGCTCAACAAATAGACCTCCCTGGGATGAAATCCCTATCTTCACATCTGCTCCTAGCAATACGTGAACCAGTAAAGCAAACAGATCTACAAAAATATTTTAAAAAGATGCCAAGGGTACTGAATCTGCAAAGCAAATGGGCAGCCAAGGGCCAGCATCTGTCTGCATTTCACTAACGAACTACCTCTTCTTTATGTAGGGATGAGCATCCCTTTAAAAATCAGATGGCAATGCTTCAAAACCGTAGCTATTTTATTTCTGAAATGTCAATGTGTACTTGATGTTAGTACATCTGCAGTTTCTGAACCGCTGTTGACCTCTTTGAACGGCTGTTGACCTCTTCACCAAGAGTGAAGTTCACCAAGATACCTTCTCTTACCCTAAATTTTCCCTTTAAAAATACCTCTGTGTGATGACTTGACAGCTGGTAGCCACTCTGAATAGGGACCTATGTCTCTATTTTTTTTTCCTCTGTGCAGCTCAGTTGAATTTTTTCTCTCTCTCTCATCTATCCATCCCTCATAATGGACACAGTTTACCTATATTCTCCTTTGGAGAATAATTTTGCTCCAAAAAGACATCTTGTTTATCCAAATTCTGTTAAGATGATTTATTTTATTTACATTACTGATAGGAAACTGCCTAGAATCAGAAGCAACTTAATTTTATTATCTCATTTTCTACCATTATCTATGTTTTCATGGTGCTATTAATTACAAGCATGACTTTTTTCATAGATCATAATAAAATAGCAAACGAACAAACATAACCATCTTTAATTGGCATATATATTGACAAGCATTCTCCTGGGCTACAGTGAATTATCCATTTAGCCAGAAAACTATAATTTCAGAGATAGTTGCCAAACTACAACCATTCTGTCTCTGGGCCTGACAGCCCAAAATGATCTCCATTGGTCTGGAATAGCACTTCAGATCAAGGTAGAATCCCAGGGGTTGAGAAACTCCCCTGAGCCAAGAACCACCAGGTGCTCTTGTTCCCAGAGGCAATCACATTAAGTCCATCTGCATTTTTGTATGTCTTAATCTGTAAAGAAGCACAAGTATGCCAGGGCACAGTCCCCTCCCTTAGAAACCATTCAATTCCCTCCCCTAGAAACAGGACCTGTATTTCAAAAATGTCTTTAGATTATGAGTTGGCTGGAAGATTCTTCAATACATGCAATGTGATTATTCTTAGCTGGAATATTTTGCCTGCTTTCTGTCAGCCTGCTCAAGACTTGTGAAGCAACCAAGTGTGTGCAACATCATCTTTGAACTTTAGGTGAAATGGGCTTATTTAGCAGTTTTAAAATTTGTAGTTGCCTGCTTATAGTTTACTTTAATAGTGAGACCCAATGTGACATTATGCATACTTATATTATCTTAAGCATGTGTAATGCTGGATGTGTACAGTATAGTACTGAACTTGTAATTTGAATCAAGTATGGTGTTTCCTGCTTTCAGCTGTCTTGGACAACTTGGGTGGCTTTGCAGAGATGTTCCCTGAGTTGTTTGCAGCTTCCTGTGTGGGGCGCGGTGAGGATAGCCTTCATGGTGGTTCACCAGGCCTGGTTGTCCAAATTGGGCTTTGAACCGTCCTTATGTAGCACTGGACATTTCAAGGTGAATTATTAAAGGACAAATTTCTGTGAAATAAAAACTGGTTTAAAGAAGAGCCACATACCAAACAGATTTTAAAAGCAGTAGTGTGTTAAAGAATAAACATTTGATATTCAGCCACTGAAAATACCTCACAGTATTTTCTTTTCTTTTCCTTTTTAGATTTGCTATAGGGCTGTGTACTTGACAGAGAGAGACAGAAACAGAGAAAGGGAAAGTGAGAAAAGAGTGAGGAAAGTGAGAAAAGAATGAAGGAAGTGAGAAATCACCCCCTAGGGTGGGTGGCCATCATACAATCTCTTCTGCTCCATTCTCCTCTTGGAACTTGAGGCACACATGCACATGCACCCGGCATGATTTTCAAGCCACCAAATCTGGGATTCAAGTAGAGAAGTCAGCCATTTGGGACCCAGTGCCTTAACTTCCATGCCACCTGCTGGCCCCCTCACAGTGTTTTTCGGGTGGCAGGGGAATGATTACTTTGATTAGCGCTTGCATATCTGCCCTTGTTCTTCAATACAGTTACATTGCTTGAAACAGTTACTGTTTTCATTTTTTTCCTTTTTGATTTTGACATAACCACAAACTTACAAAACAGTGAGATGTACAGCCAAAGGACTGCTCTTTTCCTGAGTAAGTTTCTGACCTAATGCCCTGTCACTTCTGGATAGTAGTATTTCCTACAAACAAGAGCGCTGTCCTTCCTAACTATTTTATGACCATCAGCATCAGAGAACTAACCTCTACAGATTGGCTGTCATCTAATCTTCAGAATGCATTCAAGATCTGCGGACTGTCTCCAGAATGTATTTTTTGACTGAAGATTCTGTTCTGGTTCTCTTTGTGCATTTAGTCTACATGTCTCTGCAGTGTCTGTCAATCTGGGCAGTTTCTCAGTCTAGGCTCATGGCCTTGGCTCTTTTGAAGATTATGCACAATTATTTTGTAGAGTGTCCCTTACTTGGGGCAATCTGGTGTTTCTTCAATATTAAAATCAACTTAGTCATCTTCAGCAGAAATGACACAAAAGTGATACTGTGCTCCTTTAATTGCACCCTATGGGGCAGCTTACAATTTTGATTTGTTGTATTGACAATGTTCATTTTAATCGCTTGACTAAGGTGTTGTCTGTCAAGCTTCTCCACTATAAAGTTTTTCTTCCTTATAGTTACTAAATATTTTGTGGGAAAGAAATCTTCTGTTCCTCATTAAAATATCAGTTTATTCATTTCTTCATTTATATCTGTGGTGTCATGGTGTCCTATTTTAGTCAATGGATAAAAAATTGTTATAATCATTATTCTATCTTGAGGCTGAAATGGTCCCATCCTGGGCCAGCCAGTGGATGCCCATTCAGATTTTGTGTTCTTCTGTCACGCCCCATCATTCTTTTAATATTTTTCTGCCTTTTTTCAGGACGAGATAATGACAGCCTGAGCTTGAGCTTCCCCTGTCCTAACATTGGAACCATCTTCTTCTCTAAGGTGCTCTGCTTTTCATTGAGTGGAAAATGGTTTAGAAAGCCAAGATCTAGTCACTAGTTAAAACTGGTTTAAAGAAGAGCCACATACCAAACAGATTTTAAAAGCAGTAGTGTGTTAAAGAATAAACATTTGATATTCAGCCACTGAAAATACCTCACAGTATTTTCTTTTCTTTTCCTTTTTAGATTTGCTATAGGGCTGTGTACTTGACAGAGAGAGACAGAAACAGAGAAAGGGAAAGTGAGAAAAGAGTGAGGAAAGTGAGAAAAGAATGAAGGAAGTGAGAAATCACCCCCTAGGGTGGGTGGCCATCATACAATCTCTTCTGCTCCATTCTCCTCTTGGAACTTGAGGCACACATGCACATGCACCCGGCATGATTTTCAAGCCACCAAATCTGGGATTCAAGTAGAGAAGTCAGCCATTTGGGACCCAGTGCCTTAACTTCCATGCCACCTGCTGGCCCCCTCACAGTGTTTTTCGGGTGGCAGGGGAATGATTACTTTGATTAGCGCTTGCATATCTGCCCTTGTTCTTCAATACAGTTACATTGCTTGAAACAGTTACTGTTTTCATTTTTTTCCTTTTTGATTTTGACATAACCACAAACTTACAAAACAGTGAGATGTACAGCCAAAGGACTGCTCTTTTCCTGAGTAAGTTTCTGACCTAATGCCCTGTCACTTCTGGATAGTAGTATTTCCTACAAACAAGAGCGCTGTCCTTCCTAACTATTTTATGACCATCAGCATCAGAGAACTAACCTCTACAGATTGGCTGTCATCTAATCTTCAGAATGCATTCAAGATCTGCGGACTGTCTCCAGAATGTATTTTTTGACTGAAGATTCTGTTCTGGTTCTCTTTGTGCATTTAGTCTACATGTCTCTGCAGTGTCTGTCAATCTGGGCAGTTTCTCAGTCTAGGCTCATGGCCTTGGCTCTTTTGAAGATTATGCACAATTATTTTGTAGAGTGTCCCTTACTTGGGGCAATCTGGTGTTTCTTCAATATTAAAATCAACTTAGTCATCTTCAGCAGAAATGACACAAAAGTGATACTGTGCTCCTTTAATTGCACCCTATGGGGCAGCTTACAATTTTGATTTGTTGTATTGACAATGTTCATTTTAATCGCTTGACTAAGGTGTTGTCTGTCAAGCTTCTCCACTATAAAGTTTTTCTTCCTTATAGTTACTAAATATTTTGTGGGAAAGAAATCTTCTGTTCCTCATTAAAATATCAGTTTATTCATTTCTTCATTTATATCTGTGGTGTCATGGTGTCCTATTTTAGTCAATGGATAAAAAATTGTTATAATCATTATTCTATCTTGAGGCTGAAATGGTCCCATCCTGGGCCAGCCAGTGGATGCCCATTCAGATTTTGTGTTCTTCTGTCACGCCCCATCATTCTTTTAATATTTTTCTGCCTTTTTTCAGGACGAGATAATGACAGCCTGAGCTTGAGCTTCCCCTGTCCTAACATTGGAACCATCTTCTTCTCTAAGGTGCTCTGCTTTTCATTGAGTGGAAAATGGTTTAGAAAGCCAAGATCTAGTCACTAGTTATCCTCATTGTTATTGGGACTTCTCTGCTCTTAAACCCCATCGGTGGACAGGACTTATGTGATCTGTCTTTCTATATCTATCTATATCTATCTTTCTGTCTATCTACCTACTTATCATCTGTCTATCGATCTATCTATCTATACCTATTATCTATCTATCTATATTTCCAAATAGAGTAGACAATCTCCACATAAATATAAATATAGATGATATGTGTATAAATACATAGATGTAAATGTGTGTATATTTATGTGTGTGTATACAAATACATATATGTATATATAGTTATATATTGGGTTGTTGGAAAAGTCATGACCCATTTTTGCATAGAAAAATACATCACGACTTTCCTGACCACCTAATATATACACATAGATGTAAATATAATAGTGTCCACACATATACACATTTTACATCTCTATCTAGCTATTTATTCATCTACTTAGAAATTCATGACTTCACACCCATGCCATTAATTCCAATGTAAGACCATGTGCCTCGTATTAAATTTATCCAGGCCTATGAGAAATGATTTTCCATTGTCACTAGGTGCTGATGCTTCATTTTTCTTTTCTTGTTTATTCCTTGAATCCTTCCATACAATGATTCTTTTATTAACCTTGTTCGCTTAACCTTTTAAACG